GAGCCATGGCTGCTGAGCCTGGGTGTCCGGAGCCTGTGCTCCGCAACGGGAAGGGCCACAACAGTGAGAGGCCCGCGTACCACAAAAAAAAAAAAAAAAAATGTTAGCCATCACGTGACAACGCAGGATTGCCACAGACCTTCAATTTGTAAAAACTGCAGAATCTGCAAAGGACAATAAAGCTAAGCACAGTAAGAAAAGGTATGCCTATACATAAACACTTGATGTATAACAGTGGTGTTATAGTAGGTAAGTGGGGATAGGATTAACTTCAGCTATGGAGTTGGGACAGTGAGATTCCTATTTGTATAATATACAAAAATCAATTTCAGGTAGATTGTGAAAGGCAAAAAAATAAGACTTTTAAAACATAATATAGGAGACTGCCTTTCATGATCTTGTAATAGGTGAGGGTTTTTTTAACAAGATGGAAAACTTTTACTATAAAGGAAAAGACTACTAAATTTTACCTTGAGCTTATGCAGATTAAGAACTTCTGTTCATGAAAGACGCATTAAAAACTGAAAAGACTAACCACAAACTGAAAGAATATACTTGTAGTACTTAACACCCACAGGGTAACGTCCAGAACATAAAAATAATTTTTGGGAATCATTAAAAGAAAGAAGCCCAATAGAAAAATAGATGAAACTCTTGAACAAGTACTTCACAAAAGAGAAATCCTAATGGCCAGTAAACATATGGAAAGATGTTTAATCCTGCTAGTAGTGAGGGAAATATAAATTAAGACCATAACGAGGTACCGTTACATGTGCATTAAATTTGCACTACCAGTTGACAACGCTAAGGCTTAGGATGTGGAGCAAAGGGAACTCTTAGACACTGCTGATGGGAGCAAAATTGACGCACTACTCTGGAAATTAGTTTGGTATTACCTAGTAAAGTTGTAAGGGCCCATGCCCTATGTCCTAGCAATTCCACTCCTTGGTATGTACACTAGAGCAGGATTTCTCAACCTCAGTGCTACTGGCATTGTGGGTCGGATAATTCTTTATTGTGGGAGAGCTGTTCTGTTCATTATAGGATGTAGGATCCCTGGCCTTTATCCACAAGATGCCAGTAGCATGACAGTTGTGACAACTGAAAATGTCTCTAGACATTTCTAAATATCCACTGGGAGACAAAAATAGCACCCCCAGTTGATAACTACTGCACAAGAGTAACCCTTTTGGGCTTCCCTGGTGGCGCAGTGGTTGGGAATCCACCTGCCAATGCAGGGGACACGGGTTTGAGCCCTGGTCCAGGAAGATCCCACATGCCATGGAGCAACTAAGCCCATGTGCCACAGCTGCTGAGTCTGTGTTCGAGAGCCCGTGAGCCACAACTACTGAAGCCCGCATGCCTAGAGCCTGTGCTCCGCAACAAGAGAAGCCACCACAATGAGAAGCCTGCGCACTGCAACGAAGAGTAGCCCCCGCTCGCTGCAACTAGAGAAAGGCCGCGTGCAGCAGTGAAGACCCAATGCAACCAAAAAAAACGAGTAACGCTTGCACATACATACTAGGAAACAGAACGAGAATGTTCATGGCAGCATGAATAACCAAAGACTGGATACAACCCATATGACTGTTAACAACAGGAGAGTGAATAAAGTTGTGTATTCATTCAGTGGAACACCATACAGCAATTAAAATGAATTTATAACTATACTCTTTAATGGGAATGTATCTTACATTGTTGAAATAAGTCTCAGTAGAATCCACAGTTTGATTTAATTCATATGAAGTTCAGAAACAGAAAAAATTAAACATACTGTTTAGAAAATTGTTTATAAGGTAGTAGTTTAAAGAAAAGAATGATTATCTGCTAAGTCAGAGAAGTGGGTAACTCTAGAATAGATAGAGGGGGATGCAGTCAGGAACTTGTAAGCTGCTGGCAATCTTCTATTTCTTAAGTTGGATGATAGCTACACATATTTTCTTTATTGTTACTCTTTAAAGTTACATACGTTTTATACATTTCTGTATGTAATATTCCACAAATCTAACAAAAAAGACATAAGGGTAGCTAACTTTGGTATGGTATTCAAGGTTATATCGTGGAAGATCCTGATTTTTAGCTGAGGACTTCATCCTTGAATAGGCAGCTGGGAGTCATTTTAGATTTCTGAACAAAAGTAAGGCATTAAATTCAATGATTGTTAGGTATAATGTCTGAAGTCTACTAGATAAATACATTAATTAGCTTTCTGACTGAAAATCACTAGCTGCTCTAAAACATAAAACCCCAAATACTAGAGACTTAACGCTGGAAATTTCTTGCTCACATAATAGTCCACTGGGAGTCTGCCTCACTGGCAGGCAGCTTTCCCTCACTTGAGCTTCAGGGACCAGGTGCTTTCCAGTTTGTTGTGCCACCATCTCCCGGGGCTTCAGAGTCCCCCGCATCAAGGAAGACAAGCAAAGAGATTGGTGGCCCTCCTTCTTGTGCACCTTGGCTTAAAAGTTAAATCTCTTCTGCTTATGGTCCATTGGTAAAAACTAGTTGCAAAAAGGACTGGAAGATGTAGTTTCCGCCTAAGCAACTGATTCTCAGCAACAACTCTGTATAATGGGAGGGGAGCGTGAACTTTTATAGAAAATTCTCTCAATCATAATCAGTAAGTAAAACTAGAACCTGCACAGAAGGCTATTGCAGTAATCTAGCGTGGCACAGAGCATGAACTAGGGCTGCTCTCATTTGTCTTGATCTTACTAATTCAATTGCTTATTAATCCTAATCCTGAACATGTATCATATACTGCTTAGAATGTAAAATCTGACCTTTTTATTGCTTGCTGGAAAAGCAAACAAAAAGGGATAGAGAAGAAAGCAATTTTGCTCTTCAGGTTTTCAGGGTTTTCAATAGGAAAAAAGTTTTATAAAGATATTATATGTTTCAGTTGACCCTTAGGTGTTTGAGCTAAAATAAACTAACATTCTTGCTACGTTTTTTGTATCCTGTATCATTCTGAATTAGTCATTTGTCATTCTGAAATATTCATGACCTGTTGCTTTATAATAGGCCTGGAAATAGGTGTTAACGATTAATTTTCCTTCCTTCAAAGACTTTAATGTGAAAGGAATGGTATGGTAAAGAATTAAAATAAAATTTGTCTTGACAAAACTATGGTTATAAGACTGTATAAATGGAGTACTGATTCATACTACAAACATGGGTTAACCTTTGAAAATATTATGCTAGGTGAAAAAAGCCAGACACGAATTGTATGATTCCATTTACATGAAATGTCCAGAATAGGCAAATGCAATGACAAAATAGATTTGTGGTTGCCAGGAGCTGAGGGGAGGGGGAAATTGGAAGTGATCACTAATAGGGATAGATTTCTTTTGAGGATGATAGCAATATTCTGGAATTAGACAGTGGTGATAGAGAAAAACCACTGAACTATACACTTTTTTTTTTTTTAATTCTTGGCTGCATTGGGTCTTTGTTGCTGCACGCGGGCTTTCTCTAGCTGTGGCGAGTGGGGGCTACTCTTTGTGGTGCACGGGCTTCTCATCATGGTGGCTTCTCTTGTTGCAGCACATGGGCTCTAGGGTGCGTGGGCTTCCACAGTTGTGGCGCTTGGGCTCAGCAGTTGTGGCGCGTGGGCTCAGCAGTTGTGGCACGTGGGCTCAGCAGTTGTGGCTCTCAGGCTCTAGAGTGCAGGCTCAGTAGTTGTGGCGCATGGGCTTAGTTGCTCTGTCGCATGTGGGATCTTCCCGGACCAGGGATCGAACCCATGTCCCCTGCATTGGCAGGCAGATTCTTAACCACTGTACCACCAGGGAAGTCCTGAACTATACACCTTTAGATGGTAAATTTTATGGTACGTGAATTATCTCAATTTTTAAAGTGCATGATTTTAAAATCATTTTATGATTTAGTTAGGGAGTTTTGTTGGACTAAATAATTAACAAGAGATTAAATTGTGTGATTCTCAATAGCAACCCCACACACACACCAGCCATAATCTCCAGCCTACACTCCTTGGTGCTACACAGATACTGTACGTGTTTACTCCCTGTCTCAGCGTGTGTCAGTTTACAGACAAACATAAGAAGGGTATTGGAATAGTGAGAATCAGCAAGTTTTCATAAGAAGCTTTCTGAAATGTTATCTATTGTCACTGTCCATGCGTTGGGACAGAATGGAACAAAATTGGTGCTTTGGAAAGTTGAAAGCTGCTAGTAGGCTCTTCTGTCAGGGGAAGGGAAGTTATGAAGATGATTAACTGATCAAGATAATTGAGTAATCCTTCAGAACTTGATGAACTAATGAATGAAGTGTGTGAGGTGAGATATACACAGAATATAATGGGTGAAAACAACCATCAGATAAGTCAGTTTGAACAACCTTGCCTAGCATAGTTTGTCTTAAATTAGTGATCAATAGGTACTTGAGAAAAAAGTTTAGCAGCCTTTATGGGGTACAGGCACTCTCTTTGTAACTATGGTATTGGAAGGAAAGATCCTTTAATAATTTATATCTTTTGTACAACCATCTAGCGATTTCTAAAATGGAGTCTACTTATAATTTCAGAGTTCGTAATACTATCTTTAATAAAAATTAATCTAGGAACATGTGTTTCCAAGGTAACATTGTTATCTTTTAAAGGCCTTAAATAATATTTGTGACTACTGCTTACATCCATCCCTGAGTTTATACTGTACCAGCATCCTTAATTTGTCCACTGGAAATATAATAAATTTTGGTTAGCTGTATGAAGTCAAATGAAGAACAATACCATCTGAATTTTGCAGTATACTGCTTTGGCTAGTGCTGTTTTTATATACATGAAGTAGCAGCCTTGCTACACATAAATAATAAGTAGAAATCACCTAGCTGTATTAAATTAATTAAATGGAATTTTCATGTTTGGGGTCCTACAAAGGAAATTGTCGAGCTAAGTTGAAAACAGATAAGAGATGGCCAGACTTTTTCTTACTGCCAAAAAGTAAATCTGTAAATGACTTAAATTTGTTTTCCATTTTTAGCCACAGTCAGACTTGTTGGGGCTTATTCAAGTTATGATTGTGGTGTTTGGAGAAGAACCTCCAGTCTTTTCTCGTGCTACTATTTCAGCATCCTATCCACCATACCAGGCAACAGGGCCACCAAACAGTAAGTAGAACTGAGATTTGATTTTTAAACTCATATAAACGAAAGAAAACAAAATCTTGTAAAAATATTTTTTTTGATGACTTCAATTTGCTTTTTAGCTTATCAAGTTAGTCGATTTTTTGGAGGTATTCTGAGGCCCCACATCTGCATGTACAGATTCTCAACAAAGACTGGCATTTGGGCTTTCGTTTGTGGGTAGAAATCTAACTATGGGTGTGCTGGATTCCAAAATGGAGGAGAAAGAATGCTGGAATAGAGCTGGAATTTTTTTTTAAATTATGCATGCCATGGAATAGCTTTATTTGATCCGTTTGGAAGTAGATACAACTTGAAAGGCAATCTGACCTCCTTTTGTTTGCAACTCCAGGATCAGTGCTATAGATAAGAATCAATTATAAAGTAAACTATATCATTCACATTCAGCTATTCTGGGTGTACACAATGGACATCTAGCTCTCAGCTTTCTTCTCTTGAGTACAACCAATTCATGATTTTACTTTGAGTGGGGAGGGTGGGGGCATGGAGTCAATATCAGTTCTCCCCTAACTGGTGTACATTATCTCTGTTATTTCTGGGTTTTTCAAAAATAATTCTTACTGGTACTTTAAAATCACCCTGGATAATTGAGAGTTGGTTGTACTTACTTGTTTTGACTTTACTAAACCTGTTCATTGTGTTTTGAGCTGTGATTTTTTTAAAACAAATTTTGTTTAAGATAATTAACCAGACTTAATTTATCTTATAAGTTAGATTATGTGAGCTTTCATTTTCCTCCCACTGAAAATTATCATCTTCCTTTTTAATCCATTCTGCCTTGAGGAGCATCTTGACTAACAAGCTGAATGGGAATCTAACAGAACTTTCTGAATCCATTTCCTTTTCCTTCTCTGCTTTCCCAGAATAAGCTTGGCTGTAGCATTTTGTTGCTCTTTTAATAAAGATTCTAGGGATTCTTTTGGATCAGAAATTTGTTTTCATCTTAATAAATTCTGTTGACTTTAATATCCAAGGTTAGATTATCTTGCCCATCTAATGTTGAAATGCAAAATATTTCCTAGATCATCGTTCATATTTATTTGCTCAAATAACATAGCCAGTGACCACTTAAGATAAAGGTAACCTTTTCAGAATGTTAGTCCCCTAAGCAACATTTTTTTCCTAAATTTCTTCTAGTTTTATGTTAACATTGGAAGTGCAGCATTCAAGAAAGAGACCTCACTAAAGAGATCACTATTACACTTCCATTTTTCATTCACTCACTGTAAATCACATTAAACAATATAGAGCTAATATAAGTAAATTACTAAAAGAGACAACTTATTGTCTGTCCATTACAGTTTTAATACTTTTTATACATTTAAATGATATTCATTATTGTTATGTATGACTGCAAAGAAATGAAAGTCTGAATTCCGTCCTACACCCACACATCAAGGAACAGCCCAGAAATTTGGATCCATACTTAAATACGATCTTCTAGTTAAGAAATTATATACTTCTATTATCATCATCATCATCATCATTACTGTAAACATTTTTTTTTTTTAAAGAAGATGTTGGGGGTAGGAGTTTATTAATTTATTTATTTTGCCGTGTTGGGTCTTTGTTTCTGTGCGAGGGCTTTCTCTAGTTGTGGCAAGCGGGGGCCACTCTTCATCGCAGTGCACGGGCCTGTCACTATAGCGGCGTCTCTTGTGGCGGAGCACAGGCTCCAGACGCGCAGGCTCAGTAGTTGTGGCTCACGGGCCTAGTTGCTCCGTGGCATGTGGGATCCTCCCAGACCAGGCTCGAACCCGTGTCCCCTACGTTAGCAGGCAGTTCTCAACCACTGCGCCACCAGGGAAGCCCTACTGTAAACATTTTTGATCTCTGGTTTTAGGAAGACTTTTGAGCTAGCTATAAGTCACACTAAAAAAGTGTTGTGCTCAAACCTCATTTTTTGACAACTAACAGTAATAATCTATTCAGTGGTGACTATGAGACACAGCTAAGTACTTCATATTAGTTCTTATTTAATCCTTATAATAACCCCATATATTATGCTTATTTGTATTCCATTTTATTCTGGCTCTGAAATTACTTCACCTCATTATCTGTTTCCTTACCAGTCTTGGACTCAACTTTTGTTGTTTCCCAAAATCAAAATTTGGAGATTTTGGTCAAATTACTAGCTTTTCAGAACCTTAGAAAGGAAAATTGCCTATAATTATGAGGAAATTGCTTATAACTGTGAAGTCGTAGTTTATATGTGTTTAAGAGAAACTAGAATGGGGAGAGAAACTAGTAATTGACTATATATGTTGCTGACACCTAATAGGGGCCTCATCTTTTGATGTTCATAAAGATCGACTGTGTTTTGGCCCAGGAAGAAGAAATGTTTTATGAGATCTAGCAATTATGACATTTTGGGAGGTATCTTTCCCTTTATGAAATAGCACTGAACATCATCCTTAGCTTAATTATACTTAAGAAAAAATTTACTTATGACATTTATAGATTCATCCTAACAAGAAGACTATGAACACTGATACTTGGGGGTGTAAGCTCAGCAACTCTGATAAAGACATTTAAGGCCCTTAGTCAGAGCCCAGCATACTTCTCCCATCCACTTGCATTATGTGCTCTAAAAGTTTATTTCTTAAGTGTTCCACTTCTCTCTTTAAGCCTTTGTGTACCATTCATCTACTAGATCACTCTTGTTTACCCCCACCTCCTACATTTAATTAGCTACCTCCTGTATGATCCCATATATATCACTCTGTACTTCCCCTGTCATGACACTTATCACTCTGTATTTTTATTCTTTTCGTGTTTATCTCCTTCACTAGACTATAAGCAACTTGAGGCCAGGAATTCTTTCTTTCTTTCTTTCTTTTTTTTTAATCCAGTGCCTTTCACAGAAAGGCATTAAAATATTTATTGATTGGATTAAGGGCTAATTATATTCAGTGAGAAAAATTTCACTGAGGTTAATTTGATTCTCAGACAAGTTGTTTCCAGTTAAGGCCAAGATTAACTTCTTCTCTTTTTCTTCCTCTATGTTGGTTAGCCTCTTGGCATCACTGACTAGTTCTTTGTCGTTAGTGTTCTCTTTAAAATATATATAAAGCATTCTTTATGCTTGCTAGATTTGAACCTTTTTCCACCTAGTATTTCCAAGCTTTTGTTTGTTTTAACCAGTCTGGCTGAATATAAGTTTTGTTTAGGACTTCTTGTAGTAATTTGAAGTCGTTTAAAGTCCTCAGGCAAGCCAACAAAACCAGCTGTGCTAATCGGTCAACATAATCTTGCAAGAAATATCAAAAGATATCTTAGATATAATAAAGAGATCACTTTCTAAGAAGCTTACCTTGGACCAGAGGAGGGCACATTTACCTTCCTCTAAATTCCAAACTGAATTGGCTCCTGTCTCAGGTTATAGACGCGTTGAGAGCTTGAAGAGCTGACCAGGTTGACCTGTTCGCCAGTTAATCCTTGTTGGAATTGTCACGTTTAATGCTTTTAGAGTTATGTGGTTTGAAGATATTTATTAGTTGCAGTGAAGAACTAATATGGCTGGAGTGCTTTGTTTTTGGTGCTGAGATTTGAATTCTTTAACTGTATGAAATTTTGCTGTGGTTTGATGGTGATGTGTGTCTTATTTGATACCCTATATATCCAGGACTATGCATACTATTTTAAAATACTAAAAATTATTTTTAGCTTCCTACATGCCAGGCATGCCAAGTGGAATTTCTGCATACCCATCCGGATACCCTCCCAATCCCAGGTAATGAAAAATTATCTTTTGAATAATTGTATTAGAAATTCTATTAGATCTAGAATAAAAATAATGGGTGCTAACTAGGGCATTAAAATGAAAATGGTTGCAGTTTAATGGAAGGTAAAACTCAGTTTATTGCTGAAATTTTATGGTATATATATAGTTCAAGAGGAGTTTTTTCCATTTAGAGAAATGCAGCTCCATTCTATTTAGAGAGAGGAAAGGGGTGGGGAAATGACAATAATCTTGATTAGTTTTGTACCTTGAAATCCTTGTTTCTCTCCTTTTAAGAACTCTTTATATCCAGTGTAAATGGCTGAAAGATTAATGGAATACTAATTATGATGACCTCAGCCATGGAGAAAAATATTTTAATATCCTTTTTAAAAAACTGACCTTTTCTGTAAACTACAGGGAGTGAATTAATGGTGCATATCATGGGGTCAGTCTCATCCCCATATTTATTCAGTTCATAGACTACACGTACTACCAACCTTTATTATCCATATGTTAATAACATAACAGGTAAGTTAAATTAATAGTGAAATCAGTCTATGAATAATACATACTAGAAAATCGATAAGAAATAATTATTAATCCATGTTTTAAATGTGCACCTGTTCCAGGGGTAATCTAGGAGTACTTTCCAAAGGTGGTCTTGGGGCTAACTTAGAATGCAAGACTGGCATATACTTGGTGCCTAGATGAAATTTTCCAGCTACTCGAAATTAACAAAAAAATTTTAACCCTGCTAACTCTTCTTAGCTCCATAGAACCTCACAGATAAATGCAGCTAGAATTCCGGAACACCTGCCATAAATAAATATATGTATATACATATATAATATGCAGGATCTTATAAGTTAAATTTAGCAAACATTTATTTGGGGGCCTTTCTTAATTTCAAGAACTAGCTTTATAAGGTAGTAAGTATTCTGTCACATTTATCTGGGTAAGCAGACTAGATGAACATCTGTCAGAGACAAGAGAGAAAGATTCCTATGATTGTTATATATAAACAAGTTGTAAGTTTTAGATTTCTTGAGGCCTTTAATTTTCTGATTAAGTTCTAGAAATGGAATTCTATCTGAAGCCTTGAAATTACAAGCCGTTATAATGAACAGTTGCTAGTAAGAAGGAACTTTGGGCATATAGGGAATGGTTATTAGAAGCACAATAAGGAAATGGACTTCTGAACAATGAAGCCACTTCAGAGAAACTTGTAGATAAAAATGAAGGCTGAAAATATTGACAGAAATGTAAATCTTACTCATCTTACATAACCTTAAAAGTGTCTTTTGTGGGCTTCCCTGGTGGTGCAGTTGTTGAGAGTCCGCCTGCTGATGCAGGGGACACGGGTTCGTGCCCCGGTCGGGGAAGATCCCACATGCTGCAGAGCGGCTAGGCCCGTGAGCCATGGCCGCTGAGCCTGCGTGTCCGGAGCCTGTGCTCCGCAACGGGAGAGGCCACAACAGAGAGAGGCCTGTGTACCGCGAAAAAAAAAAAAAGTGTCTTTTGTGAGGTTATTTGTAAGAAGTTCCTTTTTTAAAAAAATTTATTTTATTCTTTTTTTTTTTTTTTTTTTGCTGTGTTGGGTCTTTGTTGCTGCGTGCGGGCTTTCTCCAGTTGAGGCGAGCAGGGGCTACTCTTCATTTTGGTGCGCGGGCTTCTCACTGCGGTGGCTTCTCTTGTTGCGGAGCTTGGGCTCTAGGCACGTGGGCTTCAGTAGTTGTGGCACGTGGGCTCAGTAGTTGTGGCACGCAGGCTGTAGAGCGCAGGCTCAGTAGTTGTGGCGCACAGGCTTAGCTGCTCCGCAGCATGTGGGATCTTCCCGGACCAGGGCTCGAACCCATGTCCCCTGCATTGGCAGGCGGATTCTTAACCACTGTGCCACCAGGGAAGCCCAGAAGTTCCTTTTTGAGGTAGCTATTTTTCAAAGATTTGATGCGGTGTTTTTGGGGTTTTTTTTTTGAAATGTAACTTTTAATCTCATGACAGGCTAATGAGTTGTTAAGGGTAACTGTACTCACATTACTGTCTGTATCCTTCTGCATATGCAAGGTCTTGGCAGAAGAGCCTCAGAACCTCTTTCTCTTCTTGCTTTATCCTAAAGGAGAATTGGTAAATCAGTGATTCAAGAATCTTTATTTTACAACAGTGAATATGAGAATATTTATTCTTGCTATGGAAAGTTGGACTAGATGATCTCTAAGGTCTCTTTAAAATTTTAAGATCTTTTGAAAGTTTTATTTAGCACCTTGCAGCATGTATACAAGGAAACTAAAAAATATGTCAAGGATAGTTGTTCCAGTTTTGGTATATGTACTAGCAAGCATGTATTATTAGAAAACAGTTTCTGATATCAGAAAAGACAGAAAATGTTAAGTGCTGTGATAAACAGCTTTAAAGGAGAGGTCACATCTGTTTGGAGGTGGGAGCTTAGAGATAGCTTCATAAATGAAGGAACTGGTTTAAAAGAAAAGTAAGTATTTAGAGGTGGAGGGAGCAGCAAACAGCAATAACATTTTATATCAGAGGAAACTTACCGGTTATTAAGTTCAGCCCACTCAATTTTATGTAATCATAGGTGTGAAAGCCAAAAAAAATCCCAGGAAAGAATAAGGAAACACTCTAATATGGCTAGAGAATTTAGGGTTATGAGTAGGAGGACTGAGGAGTTTTTTTTTTTTTAATTTATTATTTTTGGCTGTGTTGGGTCTTCATTTCTGCACGTGGGCTTTCTCTAGTTGCAGAGAGCGGGGTCTCCTCTTCTTTGTGGTGCGCAGGCTTCTCATTGTGGCGGCCTCTCTTGTTGCGGAGCATGGGCTCCAGGTGCGCGGGCTTCAGTGGTTGTGGCTCACGGGCTCCAGAGCGCAGGCCCAGCAGCTGTGGCACAAGGGCTTAGCTGCTCCGTGGCATGTGGGATCCTCCCGGAGCAGGGCTCGAACCCGTGTCCCTTGCATTGGCAGGTGGATTCCTAACCACTGCACCATCAGGGAAGCCCCTGAAGAGTTTTAATAAAGGTGCAACTTTCATAGGTATTACAGATCTCCCCAAACCTTCTCTGATCTCTTCTAGCTGGTATTGATTTTCCACTACAGTTGACTCTTGAACATCAGGGGGAGGTCGGGGGGCTAGGGGTGTCGACCCTCCTTGCAGTTGAAAATCCAAGTATAACTTTATAGTCGGGCCTCTCTGTCATATCTGAGGTTTCGCATCCTCAGATTCAACCCACTGTGGCTTGTATAGTAGTCTAGTATGTATTTAGTGAAAAAAATCTGCATATAAGTGAACCAGCACAGTTCAAACCCATATTGTTCAAGGATCAACTGTATACATTTCCTGAACTTTTATTTAGCATTTATTGTTTTCTTTATCCTATCAGGATTGTTTACAGGGATCTTGCCCTATTTTGATTATTAGTATCTTGAGGAAGAGATGGATTCATACTTTAGCTCCTGCCTCAAGCACTTGAAAACAGTGCTTTAAATAGAATAAATAGTAAATTTTGAAGGGGCACATAAAGAAAAAGGAATATAAGAGTGTTGGAAAATTCTTTTTAAATACACTTAGTCCAAAAGGGCTCTTAAAAATCTGAAAAAGATTTCCTACATAGGGCAAATTGTTTAATAATGTACAAAGACAGAAAATAGTACTACTAAATTATTTTTTTACTCAAGAAAAGTTGTTAACCCTGAACATAGAGAATAACTACGAAGGAGAAATTAAGCAAACTAAATAAAGAGACAGGGAGTTCTCTGAATTTAATATCTGTAGGCCTAGAAGAGTTTTATACCACTTACTGAAAAATTCAGCAATAAAATCACAGATTGTCCTTGAAAAAGTATGCAAAATGGGAGGAACTCCAGAAAAAGCAAATTTATTACAGTGTTCAAAAAGGTAGATTCAGAAATTTGAATAAGATTGACATTGTTTCCTTGCAGCATGGATTACTAGAGAGACTAGAACAAAAGTACTGTGCAGTAGCATTCAGCATGTGTCCACTGGGAACAGAAATGCTTAACCTTTTTCTTTTTTCATTTTACTTTTATACTAATCGATAAGAATATCATGATTACATTGAATCCTCAACAAGTTACACACAAAACTTTTTTGTTGGTGACAGGTTATAAAGTGTGAATTAGTAGTACACATAGAGAGAATCTTTGAGCCACTGCCCTATAAAAGGATTACTGACTATGAACTTAGAGCTCTTGCTCCGGGACTCTGGGCTGGGTCTTTTTAGTCAGTAATTTTAATGGACTCATAGAAGGCATGTTAATCAGAATTGCAAATGTCATAGATCTGACAATTGTAGATAAAATAGGATTCATCAAAATTGATTGTTCAACTAACAGGTAGCTATAGTAATCATCCTGTTCCTTTTCTTCTCCATTATAAGGGAAACACTGCCAAATTAGTGATCATTCAGAGGAAAGTGATTAGATCTGAAAATCAGAGCTGTGAAGAATGGTTGAAGGAATTAAAAATATTTCACCTGAAAAAGAGAAGACTGAGGGGAAAATGTTAGAAGTTTTCTAATATGCAAGTGATCTTACAGAGTGCAAATTTAGGACCATTAATTAGAGGTTACTGTGTCAAAATGCAGTTAGTGTTCAGTAGAGAAAGATGACCATTTGTCAGGGATATTGTAAATGATATTTATGAAACAATGTTGGATAGGAGATTGGAGGACAATACTTCTAAGGAAAGTTTCTTCCAACTCTGATGTGAATACAGGAATGACACAAACCTTCCTTAGAGTGAAGAGGAAGCTTTTAAAACATTATCTCAAGAGGAGTATTTTCAGATCAGACATTCAAAAAGGTTATCAATGAACCACAGGTAAAAATTAAATAATATTATTTCCCTGTATGCTAGGAAATCAGAATGGAAAAGTTCTCACAAAATATTTGTTGCTCTCAGTTCTGATACTGTTGGACTGCCCTTAGAAAAACTCGAGTTGCTTTCTGCTACTGTGAAGGTGACCCTCAAATAACCAGGGCCAAGGGACTTCCCTGGTGGTCCAGTGTTTAAGACTCTGTGCTTCCACTGTAGAGGGCACGGGTTCGATCCCTGGTCAGGGAACTAAGATCCCGCATGCCGCAGCAAAAAAAAAAGAACCAGGGCGAAGCAAGAGTATTTTAATCATTTACTTTAAGAGTAAATCCAGTGTCATTAATGGAATTTTTGTGGAGCTTTGCTTGAATAGACACCTGTAGCTCTAAAACTGTAAAGTTATTAACTGGTAAGACAATGAAATATCAAGCTTAGCCTCCTGAATGGGGTGGATTTGTTTGTTTGTTTGTTTTAAGTCTTTATTGAATTTGTTACAGTATTGCTTCTGGGTTATTTTAAATGTTTTTTGGTTTTTTGGCCACGAGGCCTGTGGAATCTTAGCTCTCCGACCAGGGATTGAACCCACACCCCCTGCATTGGAAGGTGAAGTCTTAACCACTGGACTGCCAGGGATGTCCCCTGAATGGGGTTCTTAAAGATACTGTAGAGTTGGGTCATCTTAACATTTAATATGTTATGTTCTTTTCTTTAGTGGTTACCCAGGCTGTCCTTACCCACCTGGCAGTCAGTATCCTGCCACCACAAGTTCCCAGTACCCTTCCCAGCCTCCTGTGACCACTGTTGGTAAGTACCGTTCAAAACTGTATTTCTCCACATAAGGAAAGTCAGAGTCTCCTGTTGTGAAAAGTGCATTTCACTTTTGTTTTTTATTGAATAAGTTTGATATGTAACATTGTGTAAGTTTAAGGAGTACAGTCTGTTACTTTGATAGATTTATATATTGTAATATGATTGCATTATAGCGGTATTTATTACATTACATAATTATCATACAGTATTATTGTCTATATCCATCATACTGCACATTAGATCTCTATGGCTTGCTTACTACTCGTTATAAATTTGTACCCTTAAATATCATCAGTTTTATCACACCTCCCCCCATTTCACTTTTACATGTGAAATGTTAGAATACTCTTTCTTTTTAGAGCAAAAACTCTTAATGATCAGTGTTCTGTACTCTAAAACTTGAAATGATTTATCATCATATAAATGAGCCTTCTACCAGGGCATAAAAGTAAATTTGATTGACTCTTATCACTCTTTCCTGTGTTTCACATATTTATTGGTGAACATTAATGTGTGTTGAACTGTTAACGGATCCTTAGGTTTTCCTAGCCTGGTTATATGTAAAAACAGAAGAGCATCTTTAGAAGAAAGCACCATTGGGAAATATGGGTGGATCAAGTAAGACAAATGATTGCAGACCAGTAGTTCTTGGTTTTTTATGTTGCTTATTAGTAGAGTTACCTGAAATATAATTTTCTACAGTTGAGAAAATGAAAGCAATACAAGAACCTCTACAGACCCCCACCCCTCTACGTGACTATCTGCCCCTACCATATGTACCTGCCTTCTCCCTGTTACCACAGATCATTATTTCTGCCCACTAGGTTTTAGCCTCTGTAATTTACTCAGGGACATCATTTCAGTAGTTCCCCTCTCATCATCAGCTTTTGTTCTCTACTGGGTTGCTCTCATCAGCACCCAAAAATATACCCTAAAAACCTTTAAAAATCCTCCTCTTAATTTCCCTTTCCCTGCCACCAGTATTCCATTTCTTCATTCCCCTTTACAGCAAAACTCCTTGAAACAATTATCCGTACTCATTAGCTTCAATTCCTCTTCTTCCTTTCACTCTTGAACCACTCCATGTGGGATTTCCCTCATGTCCTTCCACGAAGCTGCTTCTCTCAAGGTCACCATTGACCCTTATGATGTTAAATCCAATGGCCAATTAAATAGACTCCACTTACTTGGCTTGTCAGCAGTATTTGAGAGTTGTATCTCCTTGATACACTTTCCTCTCTTGCTTTCTAAGACCCCAGACTCACTTGTTTTTCCTCCCATATCACTGGTACTCATGCTCAGTCTCCCTTATAAGTCCCTCCTTTTCTTAATATTGGAATGCCCCCTGGCTCAGTCCTTGGCATTCTCTATACTCACTCTCCTGGTGATCTCTACCAATCTCATAGCTTTAAATACCATTTCTGTGTCCACACTTCCCAAATTTCTTTCCAACTTACACCACTCTCCAGAATTCCAGATTCTTATATCCAGCTCCCTTCTCAATATCTCCATTTGGATATTTAATAGACATTTCAAACTCAATGTGACCAAAATTAAACTCAATCTTTCTATGATGCTTTCCCACCTCCAGTGATACCTACTCAATACTCTAACTTTGGTGTCATCCTTGATTCTTCATCAAGAACCAATTATCTTCAAAATACATATAGAATCTGATCACATCCAGTGCTGATCCAAGTCACCATTATCTTTCATCTAATTTACTTCAAAAGCCTCCTAAAAAGCCTTCTTCTTTCCTTAATCCCTACATCTGCTTTTAACACAACAGCCAGAATGATCCTATTAAAAGATAAATAAATTATATCACTCCTCTACTCAGAACCTTCCAATGTCTTCCCATTTCACTCAGCGTTCAATCCAAATTTCTGAAGCTTAGAAGGCCCTATGTGATCCTGCTTTCCTCCCCCTGTTACCTCTCTGAACTTGTCTCCTACTGCTCTTCTGTTTTAGGATTCGTCCACTACCTGTTTCCTTTGTGTGGAGCAGTCAGGCCTACCCTGACCAATCTACTCCCATCACCAACCCCGCACACGTATACACACATGCCCAACATGTAGAACAGTGCTTGATATATAGAAGTTCACCTAAATATTTTACTGAATGTCTGAATGTAGAATCTTGTGAAGTTTACTTTTCTGCTACATTTTCTGATCAATTGTAAGCATCCTGAGATCTGCTGTAAATATCTCCCCTTCCCCCAAAAAGAGCATTTTCTTCAGCTGTTTGTCATTGATACGTTCTACTTATTGAGATTCTAGTGGCAATGGTTTTGTTTTTTAAAAATGTTCTCATCCTTCTGTAATATAGCTCTTTTTTTAACAATGTAATTTAAATGCTTGAGTTAGAAACCTGATGATGGGAGATCATTAATCCACAAGCAAAACACACTAAATGTTGTTAATTTCTCCATTATGGCTCAGGCATCATCAGTAAAATAGGAATAGTGTTATTTGTTACCCTGTTTCTCACTGAGACGATAGTATTTGATTTGTAGACAACCTCAGTTCCTAAAGATCTTTTTTATGTTAACTCATTTCACTACAATAGATATGAAGCATTTTATAACTTAGAATAGATGATATCCATACATAAAAAAATAGGAATATGGGGAAAATGGTACATTTTATTTTATTTTATTTTATTTATTTATTTTCTTAACATCTTTATTGGGGTATAATTGCTTTACAATGGTGTGTTAGTTTCTGCTTTAAAACAAAGTGAATCAGTTATACATATACATATGTTCCCATATCTCTTCCCTCTTGCGTCTCCCTCTCTCCCACTATCCCTATCCCACCCCTCCAGGCGATCACAAAGCACCGAGCTGATCTCCCTGTGCTATACGGCTGCTTCGCACTAGCTATCTACCTTACGTTTGGTAGTGAACATATGTCCATGCCTCTCTCTCGTTTTGTCACAGCTTACCCTTCCCCCTCCCCATATCCTCAAGCCCATTCTCTAGTAGGTCTGTGTCTTTATTCCTGTCTTACCCCTAGGTTCTTCATGACATTTTTTTTTCTTAAATTCCATATATATATGTTAGCATTCGGTATTTCTCTCTCTCTGACTTACTTCACTCTGTATGACAGACTCTAAGTCTATCCACCTCATTACAAATAGCTCAATTTCGTTTCTTTTTATGGCTGAGTAATATTCCATTGTATATGTGTGCCACATCTTCTTTATCCAATTCACCGATGATGGACACTTAGGTTGTTTCCATCTCCGGGCTATTGTAAATAGAGCTGCAGTGAAC